GGGCGGAGCCGTGTGGGGTGCAGAGCAAGAGGGGGTGCAACAGTGTGCAGCACCGTACCGCACACGGCACCGTGCAGCACCATACGCACGCAACGCCGTGCGGCGTGCCATGCAGCACCGTGCCAGGCCATGCAGCGTGATGCAGTGTGCAGCACTCGCACTGTAGGGCGTGCAAAACAGCGTGCAGCACCGTGCCAGGCCGTGCAGCACCCTGCAACACCCCACCGAGCACAGCACCGTAGGGCGTGCAGCACCATGTGCAGCACTGTGCCAGGCCATGCAGCACCGTGCAACACCCTACCAAGCACAGCACCGTAGGGCATGCAGCATGGCATGCAGCACCGTGCCAGGCCATGCAGCACCGTGCAACACCCTATTGAGCGTGGCACCGTAGGGCGTGCAGCACCGTGTGCAGCACCATGCAAGGCCATGCAGCAGCATGGAGCACCCTACCAAGTGTGGCACTGTAGGGTGTGCAGAACAGCGTGCAGCACCGTGCCAGGCCATGCAGCACCGTGCAACACCCTACCAAGCACAGCACCGTAGGGCATGCAGCATGGCATGCAGCACCGTGCCAGGCCATGCAGCACCGTGCAACACCCTATTGAGCGTGGCACCGTAGGGCGTGCAGCACCGTGTGCAGCACCACGCAAGGCCATGCAGCAGCATGGAGCACCCTACCAAGTGTGGCACTGTAGGGTGTGCAGAACAGCGTGCAGCACCGTGCCAGGCCATGCAGCACCGTGCAACACCCTATTGAGCGTGGCACCGTAGGGCGTGCAGCACCGTGCAACACCCCACCAAGCACAACACTGTAGGGCGTGCAGCACGGCGTGCAGCACCGTGCAACACCCTACCGAGCACGGCACTGTAGGGTGTGGAGCACGGCGTGCAGCACCGTGCCAGGCCATGCAGTGTGCAGCACCGTGCAGCGCTGCATGCAGCACTGTACGGTGTGTGCTGGGCTCCTGCTCACTCCCCCTTGTGGGAACAGCACCGTCCAGCACCGTCCCATCCCAGCACCGTCCCCTCCCAGCACCATCCCCTCGCAGCGTGACAGGGAGCCTGGCCCTGGGTGGGATCCAGCCAGCGGGGAGGAGCGGGAAGCCCGCTGGCCCCTGGGATGAGGAGGGGTGCTCCCAGCCCTACCCGCTCCCCTCGCCCTGACACCCACTCCGACCCTCCCAGCCAGACCATGAGACTCCAAGCGATGTTTCGGGATGGATCCTTCATTCACCACCCAGTTTTTGAGCCTCCAGCCAGGGCTCCGGGCACATTTTCCATCGCCCCAAGGACTGGGCAGTTGCTCTCACACTTAAACGCGAGTCCAGCTCTGCCGAGCCCCGCAGGCAGCGCGGGAATTGGGGGCAAGCTCAGGAATTAGGGGCAAGCGGGCAGCCCTGCACACGGGGCTCTTCCTGCCGCTCTCGGGGCAGGTTTGGGAGATGCTTTGGCCACCCCCAGCTCAGCAAGAGCAGAAGCTCCCCCTGGCCCGGGGGCAGCCCCGTGCTTTGCCTGGGGAAGCGGCACGGTAGTACCCCCCTCCCGACCCCGCCGGAGGTGTGGGGTCCATCTTGCCCCGGGAGGGAAGCGGCTCTGGTCCTGCAAGGAGGCGATGCTCCCGCGCGGGGCCGGTGCAGCCCAAACGCAGCTCCCAGGGGATTCGGGCAGGGCAGGAGGGACCCAGCCCCGGGGAGCTGCGGGATGGGACGATGGAGAAGGGGCGCAAGGGAAGGATGCGGCCGGGGGCAGCGTGGGGGAAGCCCCCCAGCCGGTGCGGTGCGGCTGGCAGCAGGAAGAGC